CTTCCTTCCTTCCTTCCTTCCTTCCTTCCTTCCTTCCTTCCTTCCTTCCTTCCTTCCTCCCTCCCTTCCTTTCTTCCCTCCCTCCTCTCTGCTCCCCCGTCTCCATTCTAGGAATAGAATACAGGGCCTTGCTCACGCTAAGCTACACTTGAGCTACTAACCCAGCCCAATCCCTTTTCTTCTTATTTTTTATGCCCAAACTAAGTAGAATTCATACTCTGATATTGCAAAAGTGAAGACTCATTAACCACCTCCCTCCCATCCCCAGGGAGAAAGCAGGAGGAACTAAGCTCCAGGCATAAGAACGGCCTAAGAACACAGGACCTCTAATGGATGCCCCCACAAATGGTACAATCCATGGCTGAATTGTCTTCCTGCTGGGGTAGGCAGGGTCTACTCGCCTAGAGAGGCAGAGGACCAGGGAGCACTGTCCCAGGAAGGGCTACCCTCTGCCACCCTGGTGCCAGGCAGTAGCTACCTTTGTTGTCATGCCAGACCCTCAGCTTGCAGAGGTGGCCGAGGCTCAGCATGTCAGAGAAGTTGAAGGTGTCTGTGTTGTTGCGCTCAAACTTGTTCCAGTTGGCCGACTGCTTCAGGGCCAGGGTCCCGCTGTCCCCGTTCTCCCCAAAGATGATGATGAACACATTGGCATCCGTGCCTGCTCCTGGGAAATACACAGGCGAGGCTCTGGGAACCGGCATCTCTTCACAAAGCCCCCTGCTCTGGCCTTATTCCCAGATTCCTAGAGCACAGGGGGACAGAGTCTAGAGTCCATGAAACTAGGGGTAAGGACCAGAAAGGCCAGAAGTGGTCTGGACCTCTGTGGTGTTACAGGGAACCATGGAGTTGGCCTGGTCTAGCTACCTTGAAAGACACGCATTATAGGTTTTTCAGGTTAGAGTCCATAACTCCTAGGGTACTGTGTGCCTTTAAATTTCTAAGAAACTGAGGCACTCCCTCAGGAAGTGAAGCTTCCAGGATGCCCTGTGATTCTCTGTGTCCCCTAAAAGTCAATGAAGCACATGGAAGCTCGACAGGTCAACTGGTCTTAGACGTTAATCATGTGTACCTTGTGTAGCTTGCAAACATCATTGTGTCCTGGCAACTTCCATTGTATTGATAGTGGCCACTGCAATTATATTCTGTTTCTGATAAGATTATAATGCTGGGAATAAACTTGTCTCAGCCTCAGTCTTGCTGAGACCCCTCCATCCCGGTCTGGTTAAGAGTCATTTCTCATTGGCCATATCAGGTAGCCCTGGCCCAGGAAGTAAGTGCTGATGCTTACAAGGTGTCCAATTCTATCCCACACTTTCTCTTTGCATGTTGCAATTACTATTGGTCTAACTGCAATCAGAGTAACATGAATGCTTAGTAAAAAACTGCACCTGTTCCCAGGGAAGAGCTTCAAACAGGCATTGGCCACTGTTAAGAAGCCAGAGGTCCTGGAAGAGGTATCTGTGAGGCTGCTGTGCCACACATCTGTTGCTACCCACAAACTTCATTATTCTCCCGAGAGCACACCATTGAGGAATGAAAAGAGGACCTTCAAAGCATGTGGACACTGGGAATTTCAAGCAATAAAGAGGAAGGTCCACTATGGGGAGAAAGGGAGAAGGAACATGCTAGAAACAAACTCTGCCAGATTTACTGACCCATCTCTTTGGCAAACTGCTCTGTTGAAAGTGCAAGCTACCATGATCAATGAGTCATCTCTCATGGATGTGAATGAGTCTGCCAAATTCTTCTTAATGGTCCTTGGAGAGAGGCCTTGGCTAGAGGAGAGAAGGTAGGAGGCACTGTTTCCTGACTTGATGAGAGGCATTCCCTCTCTTTGTTTAGAAGACCTTCCTCTGGGCATTCTACCAGCCCATTGGTTCTGTGTGTCTTTCTGGACTTGACTTAGATATCTTTCTGGAATGCTCCTGTGACTCTTGCTCAGATTTATATGGGTAAGGCTCCCTACTCTGGCTCCCCAGAAGTGCCTGAGCTGACATCTGTCTTGGCCTCACCTAATGGTGTGGTAACTCCACTGAATTGTCAGATTTGTGGGGGCCCTGGAGGTCACAGCTCTATCCCCAGTCCCCAGGCCAGAGTCAAACACAGATAACTGTGAGGTATGGACTGCCAAGGCGCAGAGCGTTGGATGAGAGGAACCCAGCAGTAGCAGGAAGCTGAAGGGCTCTGAGCCAAGGAGAGGCGGTGTCCCTGAAATTATCCTCCCCATTTCTGTGAGGGGACAGGGAAGAAACCAATTTGGCCACTGTGAGGAAATACTTTGTCTCCACAGAAAAGGACATACTGTGGAGATGATTTGGCCTCAGAAGGTTATGTGAAGAAAAATACCCTGATCGGAAGCCAGTCTCAAGTCAGGACTCAAGAGCAGAGGACAAGGGGACAGGAGGCAAGAGGCCACAACCTACCCAAGATGTCACTAGTCTTCACAGAGACTGTGTAGGAGGTCCACTCCATCATCTCCTCTCCGTCAATGACTGCACACATTTCACACACCAGTGTCTTCTTGCCCTTCCTTTGGGACAGCCAGTCTCCATAGTAGAACATGGTCAGATCTCCTGTGTCCATGTTCTTCAGCAGGATCTGGAGAGGGGCCATGCAGAAATACACTCTCTTACCCAAGCACCAGTCCATGAACCCCTATCCCAAGCCCTCTGATTCAGACTCTTGGGTGTGGGAAAGGCTCTGCTTATGTGTTTTGCTGATAGCCCCATGTGATCTGAAAATTGAAGATGCATCTGAAAAGGCTTCCACAGCAATGCCTAGAATGTGTATAGAAAATGTTTGCTGAATCAAGCCATTGTCAGCCTGGGAACAGGACACTGACGTTTGCCAGGGTGGTGTGGATGCAACATTGTTCGCTCAGGGAAAGTCTGCAATGGCTACACAGGGGGAAGGGAGCTTGAGGAGAGCCAGGACAGTTGGCCTTTGGTGGATGAAGGACAAGCTTGCAGAAGGGTTTTATTATAAACTAAACCATGTTCCTCCAATCCCGAGAGTGTATATTGAAGTCCCAATCATCAGTCTCAAGGTATGACTTTATTTAAACTAGAGTTATAATCAGTTAAGATGAGGTTCCAAGGTGGGCTCTAAGCAAAACAGGACAGGGGAATTTACACATGGAGACGTGTACATGGCGAGAGTGCCGTCTGGCAGCTGGGAGAGCTTGAGGACAGCCAAGGTCAGATCCTATGTGGAGTCTTGGGAGAGCACATGGCCTGTCCGTACCTTGATTCCTGCTCTTCTTCCCCACTGAATTCTGGAGCATTGTTACATAGCTACAGAAAACTGTCTCACACTGTACAGGATGGTCACCCGACACCAGCGCCAGCCCATTTGACACGGGGGCATGCCTGTGGGGCTGTCATCTGTATCATTTGTTCTCACGAAAACATTGCAAGCTGAGCTGTGTGCTGGGAGCCCTCTGCTCCACAACAATGAGTGCCATGGCTGTCCTCTGGTGCCCTCTGTCAGGGTCCTACACAGCCAGGGGAGTTAAGCAAATGGTGGTGAGGAGACACAGCCACCTTCTTTCCTTGGGAGAAGCTGAGCCTGCGGCTGTGTGTGGTGTGTGGTGTGTGGTGTGTGGTGTGCTCTGTACACTGTGTGATGAAGGTGGGAGAGATTGAGACAAAACAGAGACTTCACGAGTCTGTTTTTTCAAGTTTCTCATCATCCCCATCCAGGAAGCCCTCAGCCTGCCCAGGAGCCCAGGGATGGGCCACAGCCTGGCTGCCTGGTGGGCTCAGGCTCCTCCAGAGAGAGAAGGCAGGGAGGAAGAAAGCTACCTCACAGTGTACAGGGACACAGAAAGCCCACCACCCACCCAGCTCTCGGTGCCTCAAGCCTGCTTCTCTCCTAATCCCTGCACATCTCTTGTTCCAGAGTATTAATCCACCCCGAACCTTCCCTATTGCAGGCTCCGCCCACTGTGCTGTGTTCTCTGGAAGTAATTCAGCTCTTACTAGACACAAATAAAGCTTCATTCCCCGATTAATTCACACCAAAGTCCATGGTCAGGATAGCAGCATTCCAAGGTCACTTATAACCCAATAGCATGGAGAAGAGGTGGGCAGGGACAGAGGGAGGGCATCCCATTACCCTCTCCAGGAACCACTCTGGCCGGCTACCCATGCCATCAATGCGGATGCGCATCTTGGTGAAGGGAGCGATATCCAGGATCTCCATGATGAAGGTGTCATTTTGTTCCCGCTCAAACCTGGGGGTGGAGCAAAGAAGAGAAGTTGGTAAGCTGGCCCTGGCCATAGACCAGAGACCTTATCACTGCCAGCAGTTCCCCAGCTGCCCATCTTTTGCATCCCAGGCAGGATCCTAGAAGACTGGGTTAAGCAGGCTTGGCTGATAGACAGGGCCCTGAACCAAGAGCTGTCAGATTTGGGTTCTGTTCTCATCGGCTAGTTTCTCACCTTCCTTTCTGGGACTGGAATCCCTCACTTGTAATCTGGGGAGGATGGCATTCACCCCATGATCTCACAAAGCTATCCCGGAGAGCAAATGGATGTGAAGCCAACTTTAAGGGTAAAACGAAGTTCACGCCGGAAAAGCTTCAGGTGGCAGTCCACGAGTGACAAGCCCTCCTGAAGGGTACGGCAGGTGGTACACTGCCCGACATCAGAAGACGGACTAGCCTCGTTGCTCTGTGTGCAGCTGTGCAGCTGAGCGCAGTGGCCCTGGATTGGTCCATAGTCCCGCCAGTTGTAGATGGCAGCGAATTGAAGTTAGCATTGCTTTGGTGGCTGCGGCTCTCCTGTCCCACGCTGCACTGTCTCAGAGATGTTCTCTTTAGTCTTTGCTGTTCTTGCCACAGGGCCTGACTGCTCCCTCAGCTGCGGACTGGTTCAATGATGCTGTTCAAGGGCCCCTGGGGTGGCGCGGGTGCTCCCCAAGAGGCAGCTCCAGAGGGCAACTCAACTGTTGTGCTTCTTTGGGTACAAGACCACACACCCTGTGCAGTGAGACCTGAGTACTACCAAGTGAGAGCAAGGCCTTCCTTGTCCAGGTCACCTCTCCTTTGAGTCCTTCAAGCCCCCCAACAGTTCCTCTGTCCATCTTGGCCACACAGATGTGTGTGTTTCTTGGGGTGCTTCCTTACCCAGCCCCATGCTGTGTACGTGCTGCATGGCCAGTGCTCTTTCTGTCCTCATCTACCACCAAGACACCCCCAACAGGGCCTCTCAGGCAAGGTGCAATGCCTCCTGGGAGCAGATGCAGCAAAGCAAAGCATGGTTCAGAGAGAAGATCTATGCCACATTAAGTGGGAAATGCAGCTCCCCTCTCAGTATACTCTTCTGAGAGAGAAAGTCCTCTCACCTAACCAGGTCGTGGAGCGTTTATAGTGTGGTCACCCTTCTGACAGAACTGCAAGCCACAGCTCTGGAATTTGCTCCTGGGGATGCTGCCCCTCCTCCCCACCCTCCCTCCCTCCCTCCCATTAGCAATTAGACTCTGGGCACCTGCAGATTGGGTGGAACATAAGAACCAGAGAATCAGCTAGAAAAAATCCCAGAAATTGGCATTGGGTGGGGCTTAGTGTTGGAACAGGGAGGAGAGACTAGTACAGACCAAACATGCTAGGGGGCCATAGCCAGACCATGCCTAGAAATCAAGGCCAACCCACAGCCTCTTTGGCACCTGGCTCGTAATGGCCACTTGTTCAGCGACTCCCAACTTCCTGGTTTGGTTCCAGTTTCCCAGCTTAGGACCAAAGAGAGAAACACAAAGCTCTCTCTGTAATTCAGTCATATGAGATGCCCAGTTCTTCTCAGCGTGCCTCACTGTGCCTCAGGATGCTTCACCATCCACCTTCCCACCTTACCCTATCTGACTGTTACCTGACCTCAGTGACAGCAAGCTTTAAGTGAGTAGCCTCTGCTCCCATTGGTGCTTCATTTATTCCCGAGCTTTCTGAGTTCAAGTCCTGGTGACCTAGGACTATTTGCCTCATCTCTCTGTGTCTCAGGACTTCAATATAAATGGGAGACACTAACAGTGCAGAGCCAAGGGGTTACCCTGAGCTAAAATAGGTGCAGGGCTCTTTCAGCAGGGCCTGGCATGGAGTGGGTACTCAACATCAGCCATTTCCAAGGCTGTCACCATGGGAACTGCATGGCAAGCAGGTGGAAGTTCTGAGAGAGGGCAGGAAGGATCCTTACCAGACCCCAGGGATGGGATGCTCTGTCTATGGAGAGAAACATCTGCCTGGTCCTCATCACTCCAGTAGCCCAGTACCCATCGTCACCTTCATCAAGACCATCATCACCCTCCCAGACCATTTGTTAATGTTTTAATAGCGGATCACTTTATTTTGCAGTCATCTTACACGCAGAACACAGAAGTAGAATTCCATGCACCCCTCATGCTGCTTCTCCCACTGAGGGTTTCTCACACCGACAGCACATGGAACAGAACCCGGAAATGAACAAGATGCAGTAATGTCAACCTTAAGGTGGACATATTTGAGAGACCAGATGGGTGAACAAAAGAAGGAAAGAACTGGGTGGCAGAGATGGTTTAGAGGCTAAGAATGCTGGCCGCTTTTCCAGAAGACCAGGGTTCTATTCCCAGCATCCACATGGGAGTCCACAACTATCTGTAGCTCCAGTCCCAGCATATCCAATACCCTCTCCTGGTCTCCATGGGCACTAGGCACCCAAGTGGTGGCACATAAACATAACGTGCAGGTTAAACACTCATGCACATAAAATAAGATAAATTGCTTTTCCTCCTTGTTTTAAGGAGGAAAATTGCTATGGCTTTGGTAGTCAAGGAAGACTACCTGGAGGGAGGATATTTACCTGGCTCTTGAAAGAAAAAAGTATTGGAAAAGAGCAACCAAGATAAAGCAACTCGGAGGCCTTGTGGTGTACAGTGGGTGGGACAGAGCCAGTCTGGCTGAGGACCAAGTTAGGCGGAGGGTGGATGTGAGCAGGGCGAGGGGTCAAGCCTCATCTGGGTACCTGGCCTTCTTTTTGTCCAGCTGCACCTCCTCTGTGCTCCCGTTGATGCCATAGAGGGTCATAAAGATATTGGAGTCAGTGCCTCCACCGACCACGTCACCAGTCCAGACTGTCATCTCATAAAGCACCTGCCACGAGAGGGACACGTTCCTGACCCCCAGCCCCGCCCACCAAACCACCCATCCGAGCTCAGTGTCCCAGGGAGAAGAGACACTCCTTCAAGCCCTGCAGCTCTGAGCAGAGTCTAGCACAGTTGACTGGACTTGTCTGAGGAAGCAGAGCCAGCCTCTCCTGGTCCCACCACGCTCACCCAGCCGGGGTGGGGTGGGAGGTGGGGGCTCTGGCAGAGACACGGCAGGCAATGGATTTCACTACTTCTCCGTGAGCCCATCCATGTGTGTGCATGCTAAGGCAGGACAGTGGTCTTGGGAGCATTCAGAGCTCCACCCAAATCCAGGTCTGCCCTCCATCAGCTTTTTACCTGGGGACAGATGTGGGGACACTCCTTGTAGAGTCATGAGATACATAGGTGGCTCAGATACCGTTGGTGCTGGTGCAGGGCCTGTATGGCTTTACAAGTATATGCTATGGTGCCGCATGTATGATACAGCCATACATGTATACAGTATGGCACCATCTGTGTGGTACGGTGCCATGGGTATGATATGGCACTATGTGTATGACAAGGCCATGCATGTGTGGGTACTACAGTGGTTGTAAGCGTCCCTGACTTCCTGCCACAGCTAGCTTGCCCCTGATGTCTGTGAGCAAGGAATGCCATGGTGAGGAGGGTGACCTGGAGAGTTCTGCCTCAAGCCATGTGTGAAGTGGGCATTACCTGTTCATCCAATTCCCACTTTAGATTGGAATTTTTCTCCTGGAGGACCAGATTCCCTTTCTCTGCAGGCCCTGGAGGGAGGGCAGAGCTCGCCCTTCCCGGGTGTGTCTGAGTTGAAGCACTTTGGAGGCTCTTCCTGAGAGGTGGCTTTGGGTGGAGGTATCGTTGTGGAACATGGACAGGTAGGCCTAGGGGGATTACGGGGAGCAGGCAGAAACCTGGCCCCTTCTTGCTCTTATCCACACAGGCACGGAACATAGAAAGGTCAAAGTGAGGGGGTTGATGGCTTGGAAGAGACCAGCTTCTGAGGTCATGCCCTGCTGGCCCCTGTGTTCTGTGTTCCTCATTCTCTCCATTCACAGACACATGTCTCTCTGGGTCATTGGAGTGCTTCCAAAGGAGAGATGGAAGCAGGGTTACTGTCATGATGGCCGGTGTCCTGGAGAGAGGCCAGTTCAAAGGGCCCTGCAGCTTGTCTAAGTGGCTAGCCTGTGTTCTTTGCTTTGTGAATGGCGGGGTGTGGATCTTCATTTTCCCAGACTGAGCTGGGAGGAGCTGGGGTGGCGTGAGTCGGGGGCATGCCTCAAAGACACACAGAGGCCGGGAAGTGGGTCAGGGCAGAAGTCCCGGATAAGCGGCAGGTTCACCCACACTATCCATCGGCCACAAAGGAAGATGTCTGTGTTATAGAAAGTACCCCCCATGTCCCTGCAGGGGATGGGCCAGCACATGCACAATTTCCTGTGAATGATCTTGGGGTGTAGAGTACAGCCCTTCTTGGGGCATGGGGTGCAGACTATATTCCCTCTTGCTGCTCCCATCACAGAACTGGCACGCCTTCTTGGCCTTGACCTTGATAGGTGGCCTGACTGAATAGAACTGGGCTGCTGTTGGCCCCACAGCTCATTTGGAAGAAAGAGAAACACAGGGGTGACTGGGAGGCCTCTGGATTACCAACTAGATGTGTGACTGTGGGCTACCTGCCCCCTGCCTCCTGCCCCCTGCCCCCTGCCCCCTGCCCCC